TTCCGTTGTACACTTCGTACAACTAGAATATCCAGAATGTCCTTTTATACACAAAACGAATGCTTTCGCGGGTGTATCACAAATTAAAGCCTCTATCCGACATGGTATCTGTTGACCGTTGACATTAATTCCATTTTCGCATATTTCTTGTGCCTCGTGTACAAAATCTTTTAAAAAATCATTGGCATTCTTCGGTTTTTCGTTACCATGATAAAGTCCAATCATGAAAACGTTGCCATTTGGAATAATCGAGCCAAGTATGGGCCAAAACTGTTGTTGCGATGATTTTGTTAATGGCAAACCGTCAATGTTGACTGCTATTTTTAAGCAATCAATATTCTCTTTAATAGAAGACAATATTTGTCTTATAGGTTTTGATAAACCGAAATGACAATATGTTCCTGGAACAACTGTTCGAATGTCTTGTTGTCTTGGTGTTTTTAACAGCGTTCGTGCGTCTGCGGAGAGTGTTGAAAAACATGAATGTTTCTTTAGCGTAAATAACAATGCATTTAAAGCAGTATGTGATATTTGATGTTCAACAGCCCATGCTGCAAGATTATTTTCAAAAGATGATCCTCTTTTGTTATCATTATCTAAATCCATAAAGTCATCGCTTGATTTATTGCAAGAAACATTCTCACATGACCGTTGTGAATCTGACTCTAATGTAGATTGTATATTTTCATATTGTATACTGTTATTATGTTCATTTTCCGTCTCACTATCAGAATTTATTTCTTTATACTCAAATCTGTCATGGTCTACATTTGTCATGCATTTAATGTTACTAGGCGAAGAAGTTTTATGAACCAAATGTTTTGAAATAAAATCTGCCTCATGTGCAGCTAATCTTCTAAGATGTCGTTTAGACATATATGAAGTATCTTTTCGACGACATTTGAGTCAAAATTTGAGGGGAGAGGTCGTTTTCGAAATTAGCATATATTAAAAATAAATATAAAACATCTATGGATCAACTAAGGTTAACATCACTTACATTATTATGTATTGAAAGTGAGTTGACAAAAACTTTAGATTTTAATGATGTTATTCAACAATTTGCGGAGGAAAAAGAGCGAGGAAAAAATCGTTGTAAGTATGTTGTAAAAGATTTAAAAAAATATATATTTATATATTTTAAAATGTTCTTTGACTTTGAAATGTCCATTAACCTTTCATACTATTAAATCTATTTAAAGGAAAATGGAGGGGAAAGGGAAGAGGCATATTACAAATGTAGCCCCGGGCCTCATAATCTCTAGATCCGGCGTTGCTCCTTTGCTCTCCTTACCGCGCGCACTGCAGCCACTAGGGTTAGCGCCGCCGAGCGTTAGGAGCGGCGCTATCCAATTAATCCACTATCTACTTTAAAACGCGTCAGACAATAGTACTTCATGGGTGACGTGAAAATCTATTGAAATGTTTCTACATAATAAATTTAAAAATAAAAAAAATATTTTTAATAAATTTTTTTAACTTTTAATGATCAAGGGAGAAAAACCCAACATTAATCGGATAGCGCCGTTCCTAACGCTCGATGATGCTGGCCCTACTGGCTGTGGCGCGCACGGTAAGGAGAGGAAAGGAGGCGTGTGTCGCGAGAATCGGTTGACAAGCTGAAGTAATTCCGAGCACTGGTATAGGTTAAAATAAAAATATTTTTTTTATAATTATTGAAATTATGTTTTGCATTGACGCGCACATGTAGAATATTATTCTCGCGCGCACGCAAGAGAGAGAAAGAAAGAGAGAGAGAGAGAGAGAGAGAGAGAGAGAGAGGAGAGAGAGAGAGAGAGAGGAAGG